AAAATTCAAAAAATTGAGTGAAAAAGTCTAAAAACAACACTTTTCTATATTCCCATACATAATATTCGTAATAATACTTAAAAATCAATTTGAACTTTAATACCATATCAAAGTTCAAGTGATAGTGGAGGGGTTCCGGAAAGGTAAATTTTTATTTTTGACATCATGTATTTGTTGTCTTATCAACTTTCTTTTTTTATCTTACTAGCTAGACCGGTGTCCCGAATAGCAGAATAAGTATTTAAAAAAATAAAGAATAGACTGTTAGGCGGTACGATGTTCGCCAGGCCAGCTAGTAATTAATAAATAAATAAAGAAAAGATTACGAAACATAAAGCTGCTCCAAATGAATATTTTTCTCATCCCAATATCAATCATTGATACTCCACTCCTGTCGTATGTATAACATAATTTCATCATGAAAAATAATATAACGAGCACGGTAATTATAATGAGGCTTTTCAATACTTGTGTACTACCTGTACTAACATATGGCCCTCAAACTTGGGCGCCCACTAAAGCATATACATCGCTACAAGTGTCAGAGATCGATGGAATTTTGGAATTGGATAACATAAATAAACTTAACTGAAAATGGGCGGGGCACATGGCAAGAGGAACAGAAATGTGGAGCAAGAAAGTAAACTGGTGCCCATGGTACAATAAACGCAAAAGAGGAAGATGATTTAGAAGGTGCATAGACCAGATAAACAGCAGGTGATACATGGCACAGTGTAGACAGAAATGGCGGTATTTGGAGGAGACTTCATTGTACCTATCAATAGTACGGCACACAAACCTAAGCGTTATATTCAAACTTTTGAGCAACTTGAAAACGGTACTCGGCGAGTGCCGAGAGCGGTGCAACGCAATAAAAACTATTCGGTTTTCTTTCTTTTTCTTTCTCACGATGGTCCATACATTCCACTTCCACTTCCACAAAAAATTACGGAAAGTGATTGTTTTTTCTTTTAAAACAATAGTCAAACATCAAAAATATAATGCAATATTTTTTTATAAAATCATGTTCGAAATTTAAAAATAAAGTTTGGAAAAACCAAAACGCACGTGCACGCCTCACAGCGGTCATTCACATTTTAAAAAAAATCTAAAACAAAAAATGAAAATGAATGATTGAAAAAAAAACAATAATATAATTTAAAAAAAAGGGTCCGTGTACTTATGTACGCGCGTAAGAAGTTATACTTCTTTGGCAATATTAAAAATAGTTTGGCTTTGTTCCACCTCCAGTTTTTGATGTTTCACAGCGATAAGATGAAAACTCTTTTTTTGTATTCAATTTAGTGCAGTTACACTGATTCATCAATTGTTTTTTGTCTCTTTTCCTTATATTTGCTAGATAAAATCAGAAAAATTACATGTTTTGATTAAACAATGTGGTTAATTTTTTAATCAAAACATTACTCGATAATAATAATAATACATACGGATAGTTAACCTCAATTGTATTGAAGCACTTAGGAAGGTTGATGAGCACAGTTTTTTCACAAATATTAATTAGTATTGGTTTAAATATTCAATTTAAATCACTTCTGATTATAATTCAAAAAGCATCGCTAAATTTCTTTGAAAAAATAATTAAAACTCCTTTATTTGTTTAAAAGGTAAATGACAAATGTCATTATGGTCATTCAAAATTGTTGGCATACGAACTTCACGCATATTCCATTTCTTTTTACTTGTAGATTGTCTTATTCCTATCTCGCTCGCGCACGCTATAATCACACTCCTAATTTTGTGTCACGGGTGCGCGCGCATTGTAAAATTTCACTCTCATAAATTTTTCATAACGCGCCTAAAGAAGTATAACTTCAAAAATATATAGTGGCGCCATAACTCTAAGGTGAGGAAAAAAAAATACTAAAATAAATGTTTATATAGATATACAAATACACAGTCGTATTTTAGTTTTTTACAAATTATAATTAAACGACAGTACTTAGAACGCTAATATTAACTAGGAATCAGCCCAGGGTATAACTTTATATAATAAGAAAAAAAGTATTCTGGTACGATAAATTTTTCGACCAATTTCTCTGCCACATACATGGATCCATAAACACAGACTGACGGACGTCCAAGAATGATTGATTTTAATGTTATTATTTACTATGTTAAACAAAATAATTGTTCATAAAAAATACCATATGTGCTTGATAGATTATTTAACTCGATTTAAGTGCACTCATATTATCCTGTAAGTGTTATATTAGTGAGAAAAAAGTCATTCAAGTTTCGAAAGACTGGGTTTTTTGACATGTCGAGAATAGAGCACTGCGAGGCGTGCAATAATGTGACAGTGACAGAACTTTGGGACCAACTACGTAGAGTAGTGCGAGTGGCTGGTGATAGATAATAACGAATCCATGATGTCATGGGGCAAAGGTTTTTTAAACTAATTTAACATTGTTAATAACGTTCATATATGTATTAATTGACTATAATTCTCCTAAAAATGCTAATCAAAGCGTTAATATATATAACGCAATGACCTCCTTGCATTTGCGTTAGAGGTGTGCCTTACATATTTGTATGTTTGTTTAATAAATTAACACTCAATGTTTACGAGTTTAACAAATTCACAGCGATGACGTCTGAAGGGAAGGCATATACTCAGCAAGAAATACTTTGTTAACGCGAAGTCGTAAGTAGGCATCGCTAAATTATAAAATGTAATAAAAAAAACAGATACATAATACTGTGCATAGACCGAGGTCCTAACGCAGTACTTGTATAACGATTTTTAATCTTTATGACATTGAATTTTTTACTTATCTAATTTAATTCAATGACAACATTATCAGAAGATAATGTATACAGGTCCGAATAACAATATCCTTAACAGTCAGAATTAATACGACCAAAACAAGCGACAATTCCTAATAAATTAATCAATAATAGTATTGTGAGAAAATTTTAATGTTATGTGTGCGTGAGAATATGAAACCAAAGACAATAACAAAAATGCATCTATTAATTTAATTGGTCAACGGTTAATCAATCATAGCGACACAAACATTTCTGTAAATTAAATATTTTATTTTGACTTAACTAGAATGCAACTAATCCTACTTATTTCTTTAACTATTTTACACTGCTAAACTATATTACAACTGAAACTAAAAAGCTTACAAATTGCAGAACATGGACAAGAGGAGTGCAGGAACATAAGGGATGAAAGCGAGATAGGAATCCTGGAACAGCAAATCATGCTTCTCATTCATTGTATCATGACATCCAATTAGTAAACTATGTAACTATGGATAATTGTAAAGAACTTGACTTTTAATTGGAGGTAAACAGAAACATACATTTAGATTATTAATCATGTAAGAGTATGATGAGCAAACAGGAACGCTCAATCACGAGTTTAATGGTGAGTTGAGAGAATGGTGAAGGCACAAAGGACAGAAACTGACAAAATTAAACAAATATGTTTTAAATATTATGTATATGTAATTCTTATATGATTGTTAAAAATGTCCCAATTTATATTTAATTTGAAATATTATATAATGAGTAATAATCAAAAAAACACTTACCTAATACCATATCTGAATAGTTCTTAAGAATTCCTTCTTAAAACCAAATGTGTACGCCTGCAGAGATTGATGTCACCTTTGCCCCATAATTTCTGAAAATATTTTTTATGTATCAATAATGGGAATTAATAATAGCATTAGAAAATACAATAAGAAATTGAAAAATGCAAAATTCAATTACATTTGTCGTCTACAAAGACAGGCTCCGACAGTAATTTTTCAAGAGCTCATTAATTTCAATCTGAGTCTTGCCATATGAGTCTAAGGTGACTGATGTGAGAATAAAAACTAAAAACAGACATTATAAATTTAAATGTTATAAACCTTTGAAACTTGTCCTAAAGGTCCAAATTATCATTTGAACTGTACTTCCATTTTTTATTTATTCTTTTGACATTCAATTCAAACTGTTCAGATAAAAAATCTAAATATCACAACACTGTGTTTATCTAGATCTCACTTGTATACATTTCTTTTGTACTGAGATATTTTTAGTTCTTACCAAGATACAAAAGAATATTTACTTTAAAATATAAGAGAGTATATTTGCTTCGGAACTTATTAGATCACGGTTAGTACTTTCTACTCACAATATCATTAAGATAAAATACAATCAGTATGAATTAAGATGACTATACACGCTGCGTGTAACCCAAAAGACTGTGCTTTCACAAAAATAACTGTTTAACTACAATGTCTTAAAATATACGGTTAAATGAAACCGGTTTACAAATTATAAACATCTACGTTACTGGGGTAATTCAATATTTGCGTTATATTGCATCTTGGAACTAGTAAAAGTTTTATATACTTACATTTTTGAAGAAAACATTCGACCTAGGTATTTATTTAACCAAATTATAAATTAAAAGCGATTTCGCAATAAATGGTACAAATTTGCTATGTGATAAACTCGTCAACACATAAACCTATGTCAAAGGTTATCTTGTTTTTACAATTACTTACCTCTTAATTTGTGGAGATTATCGTTACGGAATAAAAGCCTTGATCAACAAATAAATAATTATCGCCGATTATAAATGCAATAGATTAACGTAAAATATAAATTATACACCAACTCGATTTAATGACGTCTATTTTTAGAAATAGAGACTATAGAGGTGAACCACAGAAAGCACTGAAACCTGAATAGACAGTAGATTGAAGTTTGAACTGTTGACAGACAGTAACCAATATCTGTCAAAGGGATACTACCGTTTCGATAGACGTTGTCTAATTTTAATTGTGATGTCTAATGCGGTAATGTTTCTGTCATTTGCATAATATGTTATTGTGATTCTGTATTTGCTCTTGCTTTTGTCATCCCTCGTGTTTGAAAGAAGATAATTTTATAAACATTTTTCTTTTTTAACGATTCAACTAATTGTGCAGTAACTCTTTGCGATGTTATACTATTTTTGAATTAAAGATTATACAATGGGACTCCATGATATTGGTCTACCGCAAGACCGACTTCCACATTGTTGGTCGGATGATGTGCGAATGAATGCTTTATTTGCGCCCTTCCGTTTGAAGTCCGTGAATCCTGAATCATGGGAGATGAAAATGAAGTTCTGGTGTGACATAGTTCAACAATGGTGTAAATATAAAAAGGATCCAATTATATCTGCGTCCGATATAAAATGCGCTTTTCAGCGCAAAGGTCGTACAGCTGCATGCATCGACATTGTTGTTGAAGAAATGTTTCGGTAAGTTAACAAATGACCGCTTGCCTATTTTAGGCAGTTGTAGTCTCAGTATACGTATTGAACTTATTGTATATTATCATGTTTTACAAACACAACTATTTGGTAAACAGGTAAACTATGTAAATTTAACCACACATATGATGTACACATATAGTGCTATGCTTATTTTGAAGCATTTCCTTTGTGGGCTCATTGATTGGGTTGGATTTCGAAATCCGTCGCCCGAATTTGGGGATACTGATTATGTAGGTGTTTCGGGGGACCTTGGAAACATCTCCAAGTGATTTTTGTTGCGTCTAAATATTTAAAAAAAATGATTCAAAATTTCGTGAAATTACTTGAAATTCGTAAAAAACGTACATTTTCTACTTTTCTATTGGTAATTAAAGATGTGACATTCTGCATAAAAAATCGGCTTTGTAATTAATCAATTGTCAATAATTAATCAATCAATACCTACATTATCAGTATCATCAAATTCGGGCAACGTAATTCTAAATCCAACCCGGTATAGTACTCATGACTGCATTATGCTCTAAATTTCATCTTTCCTCTCCCTTAGAATTAATTCTTACTACATTTGTTTCACTACTTATTAATAATATTACTATGATTGATGTAAACAGCACGTACAATAATTTCTTACGCAATTCTTGTACGCAATTATCTCTTCATTGGCAAACATGAGTGCAGTGAGTGAGGGTGTGTTAAATTAAATTAAATAAATTAAAAATTAATTTAGTCTAAATTTTTTATTTTGTTTGTTATTTCCTTCGGTCCGAAACCGTCAACTTCAAATTCCTGTGAAAATGCTGCAGCATTACGTGCGTCGGTTCTTATAATTTACATTTTCGGTATCCCATAAACACTCATGACTGCGATAAATCTCAATGAACTTTATTATATCAGCATAACTGAATTAAAACACCTTTTTACTCATATTCATACCTCTCTGTTGGATGGTTCTAATCTTTTAAGAAGACTGAGCTCTGGTGGTGAGGGTCTATTTAAAAAAAAAACAATAATTAATGTTTATAAAGAGCCAAAGATATCCACTATCTGCGTCTAGAATAGAAGTACTAAAAACAAAAAACAGAAACTGTCTTTTTATATAAAATTCAAACAGGTATTCTTTATATTCTAAACTAAAACTTTTTCTTTACATGTGACAAGTGTTACCTGCCTTTATTACATTAATATTTACATATTCAAACTCCGACACTCTTCTAAAATATTTAAGACTTGAATGAAAAATTTGTCAATGCAAATACGTGTATATGCACGTACAAGCCTGTGTTTAGACAAGTCAAAACTTGAAAGCAATAATCTCCTTAAAATAGTTGCATTGGTGTAAACAAAGGCATGTGCAATTATTTCCTTGTCAATACTTGAATACAATAATAGCATTCAAGTTTTCAAGTGTAAACAGTTGCATACAATTCTTGAACGGCAATTATTGCGCTTCATTTATTGCATTCAATTATTGCTCTGGTATGTACAAGAAAATGGCATCGTGTAAATGGGCCTTAAGTCTTTCCAGCCATTTCCATGATTTCATCGGCCCACCTTTTAAATTGCCTACCTCTGTTTCTTTTATGGTCTCTTGGTTGCCATCTGCCAAGGCAGCCAATGACATTCCTTAAATACAATCAGTAATAATATATTTTAATTATAGTAATGGAGACCTCTGTCCACTCTCAAAGTATCCGCAAATACTTCACAATGGCGCAGAAGGATGGATGTGGTGGGGGGCTAAGCTTGCCTTCAAACCAGCTGCATTAGCTTTAACTGCTGTGTCGTCACTGCTTCCAGCCAGACAGTCTATTGACAATGATGGATTACCCAAGAGTAATATTGATGCCACACAGAGATTTGTTCTTGAAAGTGCTGTTAAGGTATTTTCAAGTTATGATGTCTACAAACTTTATATTCTCAATTGATAAAATTCATCTATTAGAAGAAATATATATAATACATACACAATCTCTATTATATTTATAATTTTAAGAATCCAAAGATAAAGGTAACTACAACAATTTTACAATTATTATAACCATGATAGATGATTAAATCAAATAATAAAATTCGTAAGTCAATTAATAAGTTATTTTTAGACTCTTGGCAGAATGCTAACGCAACCACGTTTTCCCAAGCATGACATGATTGGTGGGTGTGGTTTAGTGGGTAGGGCTTTCCCCTCAATAAAAAAAAGTTATTTTTAGAAAGCAGCATTTTTGGAAATTTCCCTGGAACTCTCATTGAAATGCTATATATTTAAAACATATAATTTTTTTAAATCTAATAATTAATTATAAATTTAACTTGTATAAATATTTTTATTTTCCAGAAGCTGGCTACAGAATTGCTTAATTCATACCCTCCAGGTGTGGAGAGAATAGGCACCATTGAACATCATATGAAGAACACTGGCAACACCAACCGGGAGACGTTTGAACTGCTCCTTGGTTATTTGGTGTCTCAAGGTGCTGCTGTTAAGCAGGGAGATGTGGTTAAATTAGGTAATTATTCCCAACCAAGTCTTATTGTGTTTTGTTGGAACTCTTCACAACAATTTATCTTACAGCTTGCTCATGGCTGGTTAGTTGGCATGGGCTGGTTTCTAATACAATGTGAAACCATTGAAGAGTTAGCAGCGTGATCCTGCTTTAAAGAGATTAGAGGCTTTAGTAGTACTGGTAGTATAAAAACCAGCGGCGATACAGCCTTTTTAGGTCTAACCTTCAGATTAGTAGTAGTAGGTAGTCAAATATTTCAAACTTTTCACACACATCAGAATTATTAGATAATTAAAAACAGAATTAAAATTAACTTAGTTATAGTTTGTATAATGTAGCTCCATATTTTCCTAAGTTTTAAAGCTTCATCCTCTACTGCTGCCTATTCCCCTTTTCAAGTATATAATTCTATCTACTAAATATTAATGTAATGTTCATATCATTCTTAGTACAGTGGAATCGAAAAAAGTCGAAATCCTCAGTAAGTTGAAAAAAATTGTCTTACTTGGAATTCTCCTAAATCATAGCAATAATATCCAAAGTAAATGTTCGGATTCGGGGCTTCTAATCGATTGTTTTGGATTTGCACACATGCTATGATTGAATAAATTCATACATTTTTTTAGTTTACTTAATTAATATGTAAAAAATATAATAACACAAAACTCAAGTTGAATTGTTATTCAAATTCGACTCTGCAAATCGAAGAATACACATAGAAATCGTAACTCTGTAAGTCGAAATTTCAACAGTATATTTATCTAAGTTCTTGTTAAGTCGATTTTTTTGCATTTCCCTTGACATTGTCCATCATGTGTCCACGCATAGTTGTGGGGAACCTAACCTATGACCTCAGGAATTAGAGTCGCATGCTGAACCCACTGGCAAATATTGCTCTATGTGTAGGAATTGGCAATTGTTTCTGTTTTTACCTAATACTACAAATCCAATTTTGGTCATTGATTTGAATGTTCCATGATGTTATATAGCCTTTAATTAAAAGACTATCCCACCTGTAGCGGCGCAGACAAAGCAAAGTAGACCGAGGGGCAAGTGGAATGCAAAAATATGGAAACACCACTCACCGATAGTCCTCAGTCTCTTCATATGAGAAGACCACAAATAAAAGTGTAAGCACAAGAAGTACAAGAAGCGCGGGAGCATGAAGAATTGTCCCCTCCTCCTACACTAGAATATAGAAAGAGAGATTGAGTGGTGTTTAGGGAATGGGTGCGGTAAGGAGAGAACAGAGTGGACTATAGGTACTTGGAAGGCGTGAACACCTCTTAAGACAGTGTTCAATTTTAATCACACTTCTCTTCCTGAAATTGTATCCCTTTATCCAAATATAAATTAATGAATAATAATTTCAGCGGAGCCAAACAAAAAAGCCGCTCCCATATCCGAAATGGACGTAGCGTTGGTGAAATTGATTACTGCGGAACAGAAGTTGTGTGAAGACATGAGCAGATTGTCCAAGGAAGTCCTCATGGTAGACAATGACGTCAGAGCCGCATTGAAGCTTGGGAACAGGCTGGCTGTAAGTTAATTTTTGCTTCTACCCTCTTATTACTAAATAATATTAATTTAATTTTTTATCTATCAGTATGAAAGGATTGGATTAGGATATTTGATTATCATCTGAGTATGCTCCATGGAAGTACACAATCTGATTCGTCATTCAAATTCAAAAATCATTTAATCATTTAGGTAACACATTGTACACTTATGATCGTTAAAAAAAAGAAATGAATATGAAATGCTTCTAACTTTACATTAAGTGCCAGTTCTCAAATCAAGGGCGTAGAACGGAAGAGAAGAACTGGCAATAAACTATCCGCCACTCTTTTTAATCGCCATGTTTTTTTTACACAACGTTAGTAAGGAGCTGCAACCATTACACCATGTTCCACATGACATCTTAAGTAATTAATAATAATAACATAAATTAAAAACAAAGACTTGTCCTCTATCAGTAGGAGGCATTGTGAACTAGGAGCACGCACTTACATTATCACGCACACATGTCAGAAGTGAAACTTCTTTGTAAATTAATTATTACTAAGGTAAAAGACTCAATAGATGATCATGTACCAGTATATGATCACTCTATGTATTTGTATATAAGCTATATGCTTATGATAATATAATATATGAGACAGAATTGCCATCTAAAGTTCTAATATGTAACTATTAAAGAAACATATCGAGCGTGTAGTTTTACTCTCTCTCTTTCTTAATCTTTCTTACTATAGCTCTTTCCCACCTCTCGCTCCATAGCACTGGGTGATGCGACGTTCGCCCTTTTTCACTCTCTCTCAATCGCTCTCTCCCTTTTCTTTGACAAAAACGCTGCCCATCTTCGTGACGCTAATAATATTATTATTGTTATTGCGTTTCATCTGTAAAAATTATACCCCTATGCGCCTAAAGAAGTTTCAGTTCAAAAATGTTTGGTGTATTTAAAAATGTCTCGAAAATTGAGTCACATTTCGGTTCTCTTAATTTAAAGCATGTGAAAGGAACAGTCCAATTTTCATTAAAATCGGTTTAGTAGTTTTAAGGTATGATACAGGCACCTAGGAAATGTTTCCTCTGGTTAGATCAATTTATATATTAATGAAAGAAGAGTGTGTTACCCTCATAACATAAAATTATTCCAGGCGAAGAATCATCTCCGTCGGAAGCACATAGCTCAAAAAAGGGTTGACAAATGCGAATCTGCGTTGCACAATGTCAAGCAACTGCTGGAACAGGCGAGGGACGTCGATGTCAATGCAGCTGTTGTTGACACGTATCGGTAAGTTATATTCATTTAAACGGTTTATATACGGTTGCTTGGAAAACTAGTTATTTATTATTTATTTCGTATTACAGCCAATATAAATTATTTCTAAATAAAATAAAAATACTAAAGATGGAATACATAATATGTATGTGTATACAAAAAGGTTCAACCTAACACACGATGACGTAATAAAGGTGCGGACTGCCGCGGTCAAGTTATTGCATAGCATTTTTTATCAATTTATGTATCTATAATTATTTATTTATTTATTCTTTGATATTAATTCAATCTACCACTCAGACTGACTCAGACTAACACGCCTATATTATACTTTGTCTCCCTCTAACGTGTACCGCCTGCATCGGCCGCGTTACGCTACGTCACTGATCTCGTCAGAGAGATGTGAATACTCAGTATGCGTTCTGTCCCATTCTAACGCACCTGAGCTACGTCACCGGTCACGCCAGACTGATGTGAGACGCAGTATGCGTTCTGTCCCGCTCTAACACGTATTGGCCGCACCTATATTACGTCATCGTGTGTTAGGTTTATTTTCGTTACGGAATTTCTTAATTCGGTCGCCGCGCTCAAAGCCCGCGATAAAATCAATGCAATAGCTTAAAAATTATAGAATCATGATTAGTTCGCTATTAAGAGATGTAAAATATATGAATTATATTTCAGGACGAGTGCCAAAGCAATGAAGACTACGATGAAGGAGGGCGGACTCGAAGAGGATTTGGTCCACGATACTATGGACGATTTGAAAGAGGTATATTTCCCTTATTTCAAATTAGTACAACAATTTTTGTCTCCGTGCCTTAGCGGTTAATGTGTCTTAGTCTCTCTTAATACTTAGTTCAAAAATTAAAAAAAGTAATTTATTAATTTAGGTACAATTTGTACACTTATGCAAGTCAAATTTACGCCATCCGTTCATTTGTTTTTAATAACTAATAACGACATCTATGAACGCTTTTTAATAACTAATAACGACATCTATGAACGCTTTTTAATAACTAATAATGACATCTATGAACGCTTTTTAATAACTAATAACGACATCTATGAACGCTTTTTAATAACTAATAACGACATCTATGAACGCTTTTTAATAACTAATAACGACATCTATGAACGCTTTTTAATAACTAATAATGACATCTATGAACGCTTTTTAATAACTAATAACGACATCTATGAACGCTTTTTAATAACTAATAACGACATCTATGAACGCTTTTTAATAACTAATAACGACATCTATGAACGCTTTTTAATAACAAATAATGACATCTATGAACGCTTTTTAATAACTAATAACGACATCTATGAACGCTTTTTAATAACTAATAATGACATCTATGAACGCTTTTTAATAACTAATAATGACATCTATGAACGCTTTTTAATAACTAATAATGACATCTATGAACGCTTTTTAATAACTAATAATGACATCTATGAACGCTTTTTAATAACTAATAATGACATCTATGAACGCTTTTTAATAACTAATAATGACATCTATGAACGCTTTTTAATAACTAATAATGACATCTATGAACGCTTTTTAATAACTAATAATGACATCTATGAACGCTTTTTAATATCTAATAACGACATCTATGAACGCTTTTTAATAACTAATAACGACATCTATGAACGCTTTAACGCAACCTCGCCGACATATATATTATGAATGAAAAACTAAAGGGCTCATTTATTACCAAAACTAATGTTTTACAATCTATTGTCTACAGTGTAAGATGATTGTTAACATATGGTCTGCGCTTTTGATTATTATCTAATATATATATAATAGTATCAATCGCTTATCCTGGGAATAAATAAGGCGCAACTGTGTTTCTATATATTATGTCAAGTGACATAAATTAAAAATCGTCGATCAGACGGCAAAGACAACATTACAAAAGAGTTTATATGAAATACAATATAGACAAGAGTTTGTATAGGAAAACATATTATGTTTTCCTTACATATATACGTATATATATATACCGAGTAATAAATGGTAAATTGCAGGTCATGGACGCATACAACGAAGTGGGGAAAGCCTTGGGTGGGACCATCGATGATGAAGACCTGAACGAGTTGGAAGAGGAGCTGAACGAACTGCTCTCTGGACCTGGTGGAGGAGACGGTGGTACTCCCGAGAAGGACAAAGGTGTGGTAGATATTTTTGAAGTTATACTTCTTTAGGCGCGTTATGAAAAATTGATGAGGGCGAAATTTTACGATGCACGCGCTCACCGTCACAAAAAACCGACACCCTGAAGTTAGATATAGTCAATTTTTTTAGTTTTTTTGAAGTTATAGTTCTTTTGGCGCGTTAGGGAAAATTTATGAGAGTAAAGTTTTAAAATGCGCGCGCAAACCGTCCCAATAAACCGACCTGAATATCTGTTCAAATGTCGGTAAAACAGTCTGGGCCGCTAATTGGCGCTTGTTCTGTTTTATCGACAAGTTGCATTGTCTGTCATGGCGTAGTGTTTTTCAGAGTCGTGTTTATTTAAACCAAAATAATGATTTCTATACGAGAAAACCCGTTCCAATGGGATAAAAACGGTGTGTTTATTGTAAAATATCATTATAAGTATAACAAACACACAAGTGGTTTTTGAGATTTGGTAATTGCGCATCAATTTCTAAAAAAGTATAATGATGCAGTTGACAAGTATTTATGTTTTTAATTAATTTACTATTATGTGACTTTTTCAGATGTCGGACTATTTTCATAGTTAGATGTATAAAAGTATGTTTTTTATGTTTAATTATCATCATTTTTATTACAGTATATACTAAAATGTAGATATATCACATAAATTAATTAATTACCTAAAATCTATGTTACTAATATCAGAATAAAATAATTTGAATTAATTTAAATTTTTCCCCAGACGTCAAACTCCCGTCCCCGCCGTCGGTCAAGCCAAAGCGGTCGTCGGAGAGGGAGTTCGTGTTCGACGGCGAAGAGCAGATGTTGGCCGACCTCAACCAGTTGGGCTTTGACGACACTCCGCGGAAGGACCGAGTGGGCGCGGATGTAGGAGGTGAGAGAGGTACATAATACACAAACATCTGTTTTGACAGGGCACAGATAAATAATAGGAACTCTTAGTCTATATTTTGACAGCTGACAGTTGACAGCTGCTAAATGTTACGGTTACAGTTGCCTCCAGGCATTGTCCATTGGCGATTTCACTTAACATCAGCTGAGCCTCCTGACCGTTTGCCTCTTGTTCTATTTAAAAAAAAAGGGTGCGTGTACTTACGTACGCGCGTAAGAAGTTATACTTCTTTGGCTCTCTTTATTTTTTTTAAATATTAAATAATTAATAACAAATATTTAACGTTAATAATTTAATAATATCTAATCTTAAGTATATTATTCAATTATTAATTAATATTAATAATTATTATTATTTATTATTTTACTATATTATTCATTCAATTTAATAACTACGTATGGTTCATAACCGTTAACTAAGTAACAATAGGTTTTTGTGAAAAAACATTGCTAAATTTCTTTGAAAAAATAATTAAAACTCCTTTATTTGTTTAAAAGGTAAATGTCATTATGGTAATTCAAAATTCTTGGCATAGCTGCTAACTTTACGCATATTCTATTTCTTTTTACTTGTAGATTGTCTTATTCCCATCTCGCTCGCGCACGCTATAATCACACTGACAACTTTGTGTCACGGTGCGCGCGCATCGTAAGATTTCACTCTCATCAATTTTTCATAACGCGCCTAAAGAAGTATAACTTCAAAAATATACCGAATGGGGCTTGGAACATTCTGAATTCCCACAGAATAATTAGTTTAAAATGAAATATTTTCAGAAACACACTCCCCCAAAAGGAAGAGTAAAGACTCAAAATGGTCGCAAGAAAAGGGGAACTGGAGTGAAAAGCTGGACTCGAATCTTCAAGATCTAAGTCAGGAGTATGCCGAAGTGCGCTTGGATGAGAGACTGCATCCAGGTATATATTTGAAATGACAGATGACGCGTTTGTCATTTTTGATAGTTGACATTAGTTGAATGATTGTTGAAGTTGAAATGGCATTTTTTTACCCTCTTATGCTCGTATATGGATGTATGTTCACAGATTTCTCGCAAACTAAGTGATATTGAAATAATTTTTGATAAAAATTCAATATAATTTTGATTATTAGATTTTAGTTTAGTTTTAGTTATATTTATAATGTTAAATGTAATTTAATGTTCTTTTGTTAATTATTTGAACATATTAAATATTAGTAACACATTCGCATATACGTTAAGTTAGACACAATAAATTATAAATACTAATAATAATATTAAATAAAGTGATTTATTATATAACTAATAATCTAATCTAAGAAAAACTTTTTAAATTTGTTTTGATTTTCTTCTTTCTTCTTTAATTATTTTTATTATTACTTTATAGGTTAAGAACATTGTAAATACTGTATTTGTGTATCTAAGAAATAATAAAATAATATACATTAAAATAAATAACTAAACTTAACATAAATAATTAACTTTTGTTAATTATTTATGCACTTCTTATACTTTACCCTCAGTTGGTGTCTTTTTTTTCATACTTGGGTTGCCTGAATTCGCTTGTTGGCGATAAGGCCGCCCGTTGCCTTATAACTTATGTGACCTGTTTTATATATAAATATATTTATTTTATAGGCCAAGAGCTGAAAGTTGACTTTACACAGTCCCCTCGGCATTTCGCGTCCGATTTCCAAGTGCGCGACCACAAAAGTGAGTCCGGCGTGTGGCTGTTCAACAGCGAGGACTCGCGGAGGGCGGATCTCGCCACCAGCACCAAATATTCTCGGTGAGTATTATTGCTATGGCTGGAAGTCTTCCAATTTCTTTTGCGAACTGTGGAATCGAAGGGGGGGTCTTCCCTGGGAGATACGACCTCCAATTTAAAGAAAGAGTATACTCCCTAAAAGGCCGGCAACGCACCCACTTTAATGGGTCCATGGGCTGCGATGACTTCTTTTTTTAGGCAGGCTAACATGGTGATTAAAGAGAGTGGCGGAGAGTTTATTGCCAGTTCTTCTCTTCCGTTCTACGCCCTTGATTTGAGAACTGGCACTAAATGTAAAGTTAGAAGCATTTCAAATACATTTCTTTTTTTGACGTTCATTAGTGTACATTGTGTTTTTCAATCTAATAGACAAGTAGGTGATCAGCCTCCTGTGTCTGACACACGTCGACTTTTTGGGTTTAAAGCCACATTTCCTCACGATGGATTTCAAGTCCATTGGTGTGTTAATCGAACCTAGGACCTCAGGGATGAGAGTCGCACGCTGAAGCCACTAGGTCAACGCTATTGGGGTCGGCTCGCATAAAATAAATATCTATATATATAAAAATGAAACCCGTTTTCCGTTGTCACGACATAACATGAAAACGGCTTGACCGATTTGTCTGATTCTTTTTTTTATAATATTCCTTGAAGTACGAGGATGGTTCTTACGGAGAGAAAATTTAAAAAAAATTGAGTGAAAAAGTCTAAAAACAACACTTTTCTATATTCCCATACAAAATATTCGTATTAATATTTAAAGGCAATTTGAACTTTAATATCATACCATAAAGTTCAAGTGTTAGTGGAGGGGTTCCGGGAAGGTAAATTTTTATTTTATGACATAATGTATTTGTTGTCTTATCAACTTTCTTTTTTATCTTACTAGCTAGACCGGTGTCCCGAATAGCAGAATAAGTATTAAAAAAAAAAAAGAATCGACTGTTAGGCGGTACGATGTTCGCCAGGCCAGCTAGTATGGTTTTAATTAAAAACACTTATTGAAATTTCAGTGCGTCCAGCCCCGGCAAGTCGGAGAGTTCGTTCCTGATGGCCGTGGGTGGGGAAAGAAGACCTCCGTCCCGCTCCTCCCCCTCCCCCACCACCTCCCCAGACTCCTCAGATAGCCCCCCGCCCCCGAAGGATAGTCCCGACGAGATGCAAGATCTGCAGAAGCGGCTCAATAATTTAAGAGGTTATTAATTTTTTTTTATCATCCCCGATGCTATACTAAACCCCGGAATAGGTAAAAGATGTAGGCACTGCAAGCGTGCCGCAAGAGGCAATTTGCAATATGGTCTAAGATCCCGATATACAACGACCTTCACCGAGATGCTTATTTAATGAAACGTATTTTATATTTAATTTAATATGTCAATAAATATAATCCATATGGGTTGCCTAGCAAATTTCAGTCCAGAGTATATTAATTAATATTAAAAAAAAAATTTTTTTTTTTAAACATTTCACTTGTTTTCACTATTAGATAAATTCTATACCAATCGAAAGTATGAAGCCCATAGAATATGCAAACGTTAGGTTGTTTTTAATCAATTAATTATTTATGTGTATATTTTTTATATGACTCTAAAGTATATATACATCTTTAGTAAAAAAGAAGGTTATAGTGATACATATATAATACTACCCTGATTAAAAATATTGATTGAAAAAAATTAAAAAATTGACTACATGCAAATTTTAAAAAAGAAATTTTTTTTTTAATATTAATTAAACATACTCTGGACTGAAATTTGCTAGGCAACCCATATGGATTATATTTATTGACATATTAAATTAAATATAAAATACGTTTCATTAAATAAGCATCTCGGTGAAGGTCGTTGTATATCGGGATAATACTAATAGGTTGTTTGACAAGTTAAAACCATTTTAGATTAAGATTTAAATGTTAATAATTTGCAAGATGACGTCACACCAGTGACGCACACACTCTCGCAAAGGATGTGTGTAGGCCCGTTCGGGGCTATGCGACCTTCGGGTGGTGGGTTTGATATAGGATGGCATTGGTGAGGGCTGCAGCACGACACAAGGGCTCCACTCGGAGCCGAAGTCGTGTCAGGTATTGATGTATGGACTGAGGAGTGACGCTCGACTCGGAGACTGGTAATGGGCAGACTCCCGTCTCGCGGTCAAGCCCCGAAAGGTGAAAAGAAGAAGAAGAAGCCAGCGCCCAGCGGACAAAGGCACGGTTCTTGCCCTTGGAGTCTGGTGTTGCTATTACCCGCGGAGAATAGCTCACGCTAGTACTGGAGGCCTGGAGTGCCATGAGCCGTGCGACGAAATCCTGGATGCACTCCATCCGCAGGTCTCCAGGACGGCTTTCCTCACGATGCGCTGTGAGGTGGTATTTTGTCTTCGGCGGTTGGTTTCCTTGGTATAGGTATACTACTTGGTTCTCCCTAGTGCCCTGGAGATGTAGTGCTTCATGGAGAGTCACCGGTTAATGGTGACCCCCTAAGTAGGTGACCAGACCACCTCTCTATCCAGGAAGCGTAGGGGTGGTGGCAGCCTACCCTGGCCGAAGGCAACAGCTTGGATATCGTCCGGGTCGGTGGCGAGTCGATTCAATGGCTGATGTCAAGAGGTTGTATATATACTCAGCGAGAAACACTTCGCTAGCGCGTTTTAAGGTGTGACGTCATCGCTGTGGTTGTGTACATATTTGTCTATTCCGTTGTTTATTTCTTTTTTTATTGAATTTGATCAGTTTTTGATAATTTTTGATTCATGTATATATGTACATTACATAATTTCGCTATAAAACTTAGTGGGTGCACAAAATGTATTTTTAGATATGCGAAAATTTTGAAAAAAACTATAAAAAAAATCTTTAATTTTAAGGTAGTTACAATGTTAATGGATACTCACAGTCGTTCATTAGTTATTGTAGATGTTAATTACTAATAATACATTTTTGACATACTTAATGAACGCGGACTTAATGAACGACTGTGCAAGGCAAATATAATTAATAGGCCTGAAATAGTTAATTAGGTATTCGACGCTTATAGTATGTTAGTGATTTATTAACTAGAATATCTTAGTTAAAATTTTTAACCCGATTAAAACAGGTTCATGAAGGGATGATGAATTACTTTCAATTTTAAATGTGTGAATTATATGACCATGCACTTCGCATGGTCACTAAAACATGCCACGAATAATTTATATGCAGTGAATATAGTATTTTACACCTACTTGAGATTTTTTTTTTAATTATTTACGGATGCAATTTAGCTAATAAAATATACAACAAAAATGTTTGATTGACACGTTTTAATCGGTTTATTAAGTTTATGATATGTAAATGGATCTTATTCATGTATTGTTTATATAATAATCTACGGCTGATACGATTACGATGAATTTTGTTATGGAATTATATTAATCATTTAGGTGTAATTTGTATAAAAATGTAAATAACAAAAAAAGTGATGTAAGTGCCTCTGAACACGTCAAATTTGAAAGTTGCTTATATTTGACAATTTAAGCAGCTTTTAATTTTGAGGTATAATAATGTTTAAAGCTTATTTGTGATAAATTTAAGGTAGATTGAATCCCTTGTAGCTAATTGGCTCTAAAAGTCCTAGGTTTGATTACTGGTCCCACAGAAGGCTTGATAATCTTGAAACAAATGCATCTTTTGGGCGTTACGGTGCTCCAATAAAAAAACTGAAGCTCTCATCAAATATATGTACCATATACTTAATTTATATAGTATGCATGGTCACGCATTTTGCAGCGCATGGTCACATTTTGTTACTTTAAATTTTGAAATGAAACGTTATTTTTGTATGTGTTAAACTTCAGAAGCACTGGTATTAAAACAATTGTACTAAAACAATACACTACTACAATACAAATTGTATGGAAAGTCAGAGCTGTCAAAGTATAGTACTGACGTCTACAAATACTTGTCCTAGGATTGTGTTGCTATGAGATGTCACACGATCTTTATAAAAAAAACATGTGGCTCTCGGCTACTGTCGCAGTATGCGTTCTGTCCCGCTCTAACGTACCTGCGCTACGTCACCGATCACGCCAGACCGATGTGAGACGCAGCATGCGTTCTGTCCCGCTCTAACGTGTATTGGAAGCACCTATATTACGTCATCGTGTGTTAGGTTTATTTTCGTTACGGAATTTCTTGATTCGGTCGCCGCGACCAAAGCCCGAGATAGAATCTATGCAATAGCTTTACACTGGCGCAACAACCTTTGCTCTTGGCTTCAGTTTTCTTGATCATTTGCTTGTTCGAACCTAAGACTTTGGGGTTTTTCCATTACATCATGGTACACCGCTGGCCGACTTCACGTAATTATTAACCTGCGTTGACCTGTGTACAATTAGTTCTTGGTACGCTAGAAATGTTCACTTATCGGCGTCAAGTTATAAAATAAAAATTTATTTGTGCCAATATCTATAATAATAATTACTTATAAATACATATATTTTACTAGTCATTTTTTATTTGACACGATATACTGACATCTCCATACGCCATTTGTATTATATTCTTTAAAAAGGCGGGAAAGTATTTAAAATTAACCAAAATGACAGTTGACACTTTAGTCTTTCGAAATTATTTCCTACAAAATACATTCTGTCTACAACATGGCGGCTGGAATAAAAAGAAACTTTGACAATTGTCAATGTGAGGCGGTCTATGAAGCAGTGATGCCAACTTGGCGGTTTCCCAAATTAGGGGGTACTTTATACAATTTTTTTTTTTAACGCACGATTATATACAGTTTATATTAACTTAACGAAGAAAATATCAATATTCGAAACTTCGAAAAAAATATAATACTCCAAAACTTCAATTTTCTACTATTTTAATGTATTTTTGAAACATATTTGAAATAACAGAAAACCGACTGTACCACAAGAAGTTTAGGTCTTTTTTAATCAATATTTAGGGGTATTTGACTTTTTTATGAGTTGGCATCACTGCTATGAAGCTTTGTTCAGTGTTGTTCAGTGCGTTGCTTTTAGAAAAACTTAATAAATATCGAATGCAGGAAGCGCCAAGTTAGGGGGCGTTCAAGTATTACGTCACGCAATTTTTGGAGATTCTTGACCCCCCATAGCGCGCCGTAACTTTTTTCTGTACCCAATAGTAAAACGTTTCGTGACCACCTACACCAACCTGTTTGTACCTAAAAGTTACCATTATGTGGTGTAAAGTACTGTAAAGACGAAAATAATATTAACAATAACGCGTAATTCAATCCCCGCCCCGCATCGTAACGTTTTACAAAAGGACCCCCCAAAATTCGTTACGTAATACTTGAACGCTCCCTTATACTTGACGGCTTAAATATTATAAATTAATTATTAATTAGTCTTTTATTAATTAACTTTGTCCTAATCACGGATTATTCAAGTTATGATTCTCTTAACTAATACTGAATCCCTTACAGAATCCCATTGCGTCTTAAGATATTAATTTTGTGATTTATTTCTGCAAGTTGTCTCTAAAGGCTTGTGGCTCAACCCTTACGTTTAAACCTCGATGTCCGTCGTTCCACAACTGAGCGTTATTTAACTATGTAGAACCAGTTGCCCACGAAATTAATCCTTCACGAAAAGTGAGTACCAATCTCACTAGCGAGTTGGCATTACGTGTCAATGTCACTTACCATCAGGTGAGCCTCCTGTCCATTTGCCCCCTGTTGTATAAAAAAATCGGTTGTCTGTAAAGTCGGTTTACTGACGATAGTTGAACGTGACAACGTCATAAAAAAATATTAATGGGATGGTTGCATTTTAAAAAAAAAAAAATAAATTTTATTTGTTTGATAGGTATTTTGTATGGATATAGGAAATCACAATTGAATTGATCAAGTTACATTTATTTGTACGCATAAATACAATTATGTCAATTTTAAATGTAACGCCTCAGAGCGAGGTAACGCCTCAGAGCGAGGTAACGCCTCAGAGCGAGGTAACGCCTCAGAGAGAGGTAACGCCTCAGAGCGAGGTAACGCCGCATGAGTCATGTTTTTTCGTGCGTGCAGCCGGCTCCATCGAATTATAAGACGTTGTCACGTCAAAAAAAGTGCGTGCGTACAAAGTACATATGTCAGAAGTGAAACTTCTTTGGCAAGTCTAAGTCATGTTCATATTTATACAAATCTAAAACTTTAGATTTCCGAGACTTAGTCTTCAATAAATTATTTCGCATAAAATATAAAATACTTCATAAATTCTCTTTACAAAATTTTAATTTAAAAAATAGAATTTCTATAAGGTAATTCGCCCTTCTCACTCTTTAAATTGCTCTCTCCCTTTTCTTCGATAAAAACGCTGCACATCTTCGTGACGCTAATATTATTATTGCGTTTCATCCGTAAAATATTACACTTATGCGCCTAAAGAAGTTTCACTTCCAAAAGACTTTAAGAAGTTATTTGAGTGTCTGTTTTCGAAGCATATATGTATGTTTGTTCTCAAATTCATCGGCAACTAACATCCACATCGAGATGATCCTTTTGAAATCGGGTATTTAAGAACTAAGGGAGCAAGTTTTATTAAATGAGGTTTTGAAGATTTCTGGAGGGACTTTCTTTACATATATATTACTAGCAGACCGACCAACCGTTGCTGTGGCTAAGGTTTTTGCTATATTACATAGTAGTAAACTATTCAAGGGAAACGGTAGGAGAACACCAGTCATGGGGACCACCATGCTTTATTCGTAGTTATGCCATTAAATTGAAGCTTATGTGACACGTTGGTACTTCCAACACAACGCCATCTGTTTGAATTGTGACTATCAAATAATAAACAAATATTTTGCAATAAAATAATATTGCGGGTATAAATTGAGATGTAAGCTATCCTATCTTTTATTATGTATCCTATCTTTTATAAATTTGATTGATATCGGTTCGGTAGTTTAGAAGACCATAGCAGACAAACAACGTGACACCGTAATTTATATATATTCAGATGCAAACAAATGTTTTTAGACGATTTTATTTTTATTCATATCTTTTGTACATTAAAACTATTTGGGTGTAATGATTTCCTTATGGAAGGGAATTTTTATGCCCATGACCCGTTTAACAGCCGCTATCAGAATTATTGATTCTACCATATATTGTATAGTATTTGTAAATATATTTGTATTTTTTTGTATAATATACGAGAAACGAAATTGTTGTTTTATTTTAAAAACCTTTCGCGTACCACAAAGAGCGGATGGCTGGCAGTTGATACACAAATTTATCCTAAAATATTATTATTTAGTAAAAGAGAAAATAATAATATTAGAGTACATAACCTCCTTAATAT